AAAGGTATCAGACCAAACACCATCAGACCAAACGACCTCAGAAAAAAGGTATCAGACTGAACACCGTCAGACCAAACACCATCAGACCAAACATACACAGAATATAGAGACAATATACATTTTAAAGTGACTAAGCAACTCTGTGTTGTTATTTAAAGTGACTTGGTACTTTTAAAGTATCTGTAATGATCCATAATGAATTTACTTCCAGTATCTTTTTTAATAAATCAAATGGGAGTGATGTGGTAAGTGAACTAGAAGACTCTCATTCACTGTTCTTGTTTGGAGCACATGAGACGCTGCTGCCACTCATCTGCGGTAAAATGCGCAGTTACGGTGAAATAAGATCCAGTGGTGATGGACGACCACGCAGCACGTTACAGCTATTCTACCCGTTTTCTTTAGTGATTTTATAACTTCGGTTTTGGTCTCGTTGTAGAGACGGGGGGTCGCTGTGTCAGTAAAGGATCTTTCCACCTTAAATGGTGCCGCATTTACATTCGGCACCTCAGCTAGAATTTAAGGTGGAACGGGTAAATTCGAACAAGAAGCTGGAGAATAAGAAGTGACTTCAGCCTTGTAAAACAGTCAAACGCTGAGAGACATTTAACTGATCAACTTCTGAGGAAAAGTTTTCTGGCGGAGATGGGAGGAAAGCGGCTGTAGCTGAGCTAAAGCTTAAAGCAGAGCAGAGTAAGTCTGTGTTTTCGTTTATATTGTTTAGTCTATACTGGACATTATCACGTACTGAGACATACTGGACATTAAATGTTGCACCTCCCAAGGTGGTTTGATCTTTGTTGAAAGGACAAAATGGCTCTTCTTATCATTTGGGTTGTGACTCCTGATCTAACCTGGCTTTAATGCAGAGGGAGCCGATCGGATTTCTCACTCATCCAGCTGTGTTTTTGTTATGTGCCGCCACAGACTGTCCGGGCGCTGCACTTCCCCACTTCCAAGTTCCGCCTTTTGCATTCCGTCAACATTACGTTATAAATTAAACATTTAGAAAATCGATTTTTGACATTTGTGAATCGATTCAGAATCGTTTTCGTCTGCATCGTGATGCATCTAAGAATCGTTTTTTTCCCGCACCCCTACCCAGACCAAATGACCTCCGAAGAAAGGTATCAGACCAAACACCGTCAGACCAAACAACCTCAGAAAAAAAAGCTAAATTTGTGTTTTTTTAATTTACCCACCATGAACAGGAATACGGGAATACTGGCAAATGTTGTACTGGCATTTATATCAATAAGACACAGTGGTTTTCTAAGTTATAACAACCAGTATAAGATCAACGCTGAGGGCGTTTGGTCTGACGGTGTTTGGTCCGATACGTTTTTTCTGAGGCCGTTTGGTCTGCTGTTCAGTTACACCAGATCTGAGACGTGATGATGGTTTTCCCGAGATTGAAGTTGTTTAGTCCGAGGAATGATGCCGCTCTGTCTGATGGCCGAGTACTGACGCTGAGGTTGAGGATGTCCTAAAATGTACACTGTACAGGGGTCACAGGTGGACAATATTATTTGTGGTTTACCCCTTAAGTTTCTGAAGTGTTATTAACTAAGCAGGAATCTTTTATATTCAAACACTTAAATTTACACTTTATTTAACTTAAATTTAACTTTACCGGAAAAGGAAAAAACAGACTTTTTTCCAAGTCATTTTGGGCCATTTTTTGGTCCGTTTTTCATGAAATGTATAAAACCCCATTTCCAAAAAAGTTTTTATATCAACATTTTCAGTTTCAACATTTGATCTGTTGTCTTTTCACTATTTTGAAATACAGGGTTTAAAGGGTTTCCATATCATGTCACTGTTTTTATTACAGTTTTGGACAGTGTCCCAACTTTTTTTGGAACTCTATACTATTTCTCTCTCTCTCTCTCTCTCTCTCTCTCTCTCTCTCTCGCACTCTCTCTCTCTCTCTCTCTATCCCTCTCTCTCTTTCCCCCGTGGAGTGTATGAGGTCTGTGTGCAGCACACTCTCACACACTTCCCCCACCTACGCACACTCTCAGAGTTAGTCCGCTGCCCCCCCACTCAGTTTCCCACAGAGTCACGTCCACTTTCTCACCCCTCGCTCATCCTGTCAGCCTGAAGCTCTGTACACTGTGTCCGAAAGCCAACATACAGAAACACCTTCTATCAGCAGCCATCAGTGTCCAGACTCTACACTGATAACGTATTGAGGTCCATTCACACACAGTCTGAAACTCAAACTGCAACGCTGCGGAAATTTTAAATCAGAGCCAGTATCTGTTTTCTGTGCTGGACAGGTGGGTTAAAAATCATGCTGACCAATCAGAGTTCATCTTGCTCACAGCACAAAAATGTATACAACAAAAAAACACAGAGGCTAAAGGAAATATTAGGCAGCTGAAAGACCGGAATACAGCACAGACACTGACCACGTTTACATGCATCTTAATAATCCATTAATAATCCGACTAATAGCTCAATTGGAATAGAGTGCGTCCATGTAAACACCTTAATC